CAAGGTACCACTGTATTTAAAATTATTTCTGAACCCTTAAAATCTTGTAGCTATTAACTGAAATTAACAGAAGCTGTTTTTATCTTCCGTAACTCATCTTCATATAAACTGAGGGTGTGTTTTTTTTACAAGCCACTTTATGAACATTACTGATTTTTCATGTGTCTTGCATTAAGATGTCAGGTAAGGAAGGGTTAACAAAAAAGCTGGCGTTTGATTGTAGCTTAGAAAGGAAGTCCATTCCTGATGGTTGCAGAGTGGATAGAAGTACCTCACTGTCAAGTCAAGAAAAATTCCCAGTACACCTATTAGGGCTTCCATGTAAGGAGGTTAGGAAAACATTGAGGGCTGCTTGGGAATTACTCTTAACAGCTCTTTCACCGAATGTTTCTTGTTTTGGCTGCTATTCTTAAATAACAGCTGTGTATCACAGTAATGTGTCATAATAGCAGAATGGATATATCAACCGATATATTGTTAATGGACCATACAGGAAACATGTTTGCAGACCCAGGTGCAAAAATCGCGTGCGTGTGGCGTGGCGCAGGGCCAGCCAAGGGTAGAAATAAGACACAGGACATCAGTATTGGATTGAAACTGGCCACAACTTTTATTGATTACAGCTGTAAGTAGGCTTTGACGAAGGCAATGGGTATCAACCAACCCTCCTACTGGTTGATTAAAAAAACAAAACACCTCGATCAAGAGTCACCCTATGCCATACATCAAATTAGAGTGAACCCATTAGGGCTGTCACCTGGAAGGGTGCTATGGTCCATCAGTGGCCATGTGGACTCCTGGGCAGAAGCACGTTTTCCCAGTTCGCTTTAGTGGGGTATACAATAAGCTAATGATCCAACCCAATGACTTATCTGCCCAAAGTTGTGATGATTGCTCTGAGGTAGGCAAAAACCCAAAGCCTGGCCAATTGGTCTGCAGGAACAAAATTATTCCCTGGTCCCAAATTCAGTGATTGATTATTCCATAGCAAGGTTCACCCCACCTGCTCACTCAACTTTGGGTGGACTAATCAGAAACAGGGCAGGTGGATGCAAAATCCTGCAATGATCTGAGCAGGGAGGCCTATAACTACAGTGGTACCTTGACTGTCGAACGTAATCCATTCCGGAAGACCGTTCGACTTCTGGAACGTTTGACAACTGCGGCGCAAAGGGCGGTCGGCAAAGTCAATGGAGAAAAAAGAAAAACACACAGCAGAAGCTGTTTGATTTCCAGGGCACGTTCGAAAATGGAAGCGTTCGAAAACCAAAACATTTGGCTTCCAAGACGCTTGAAAACAGAAGTACCACTGTATAATGAATAGGCAAACTTGAGTGAAGCCAGAACTGCTGCCGCAAGCACACCCCTCAGCTCACTATGATTGGCCCATTTAAATGGGTGCACCAAGCAGTGTGGCCCTGCGGAGAGGCTCTGGCGTCCCCCAATGGCCACATTGTGCAGAATTTGGCCCAAAGACTGGGCTGTATCAGACCACAAACCGCCAATCCCCTGGAGTCTCAGGTATGTGGCCATTGCATGCCCTGGTGCTTGGTACAGTTTGTGGCCATTAGAACTCATCTAAGAATTCAGCGTACAGCACTACATTCATTTAAGTTTTATTGATTTGCCTTGTCAAAGCCAGGCATATGAGCATGGATGTCTGTATGCACATGAACACGCACACATCCATGATGTACATACACACCCATGCCTCACCCCATACTTTCTGGTTGCAGTACTTGTAGGTAGCATGTCTTTTTATTTTTCTCTGAATTCACTAGGTGCATGTGCATATTTCTTTTCACAGTGCATGTTTGCAATGAGATTTTGCAGGTTGTCAGGTGTATGTCTGATTGCTGCAATCTGCACATACTAAAGTCTTCAGCCAACACTGGCCCTCCATCTCTCTATACCACAGAGAGCTAGATCAGCACAGGCTGAGCAGGCTTTGTGGCTCATTTTATGATGAAGGCTAAAGTTATTTTTGTACGGAAGAGGTTCAACAATAAAATGGGTTATCGGGTATCTGTTGCATATTCTCCACTGTTTCCCAGAGAAATCATGTAACCAGTGGCATTGCGGTCCTGGGATGAAAACAGGGGATGAGGCACCTGGATAATACCTGGCAACATTTCAAGGTGAAATCAAGTGCTATTCATCTAAAGGAAGCCAACATCCATGTGCCTTATAAAAACAAGGTTTTTAATTTTGCCTGGTGGGCAAGAGGGTGGTGACCGATAGGCCAAAATCTGTTTGGAAAGATTTATTTTAAATGCATCATCAGAAAACCGGCGAATGCATTTTGGTTTATAAAAAGTATAAGCATAATAGTATCAAGGGCACATTATACATGAATGAATTATTGAGAAAGGAAAATACTATTACATACAATATGAAGTTTACAATATGCAAGATTAAAGTTATATACAATTTAACCATTGCTGAGGGCTGCAGTGCTCCACCAAAACTCCCCTAGTTAAAGTTTACTGCATAATCCCATCTATCCTAACTACATGGCCTTTGAGTTTAAGAGAAGAACATAGCTACCAGTCCAGAATGAAATTCCGGGAATCAGGCTCCTGTGGGCTTTGATTCATGTTACTAGAGATCACTTTGGTGTCCAGGGTAAATCAAACAGAAAATTAGTCCAGGTAAAAACTAAAGAAAATGTTTAAAAATAAAGTAGTGATCCTGACTCTGTTCATTAAACTGAAATGTTTTAACTGTAGCATTCGTTTTAAGAACAATTTAAAGTTGCAGTGGTGGTCTGGTGTGCCATCTATTGGAATCTAGAAAAATTATTCTCTTATGATTCAAATTATCGAATTGCCTAAATCTTAACAGAAAAAGAACACTGGTTACAAATTAATGGCTAAACAGCTACTGGTATATGAGTTCTAACATGTTTACAAAAATGAAGAGTCTTAGCCCTCCAAATCATAAGCAGATATTAAGTCTACATCCCTCTGTTTTGGTGGCTAGTATAAATCATTGTTGCTTAAATTTATTACCCACCCTGGGTCCTTAGGATGAAGGGTGGGTGACTGATGATGATAATTACTCTATATTTCAAAAAGTATTCTACTGAATAGACTTCGGACATGCTGAATTTGTACTATAAAATGCTAAGAAAGTTTCCCATGGAACTTGTACGAGGATCCATGGATGATAGTTCTTCCTAATGTATGCTTAAAAATTCTTACTTCATCAGAAACTAAAAATGGATACTATGTATGTTCATGACCAATCATTTTTTTAAATGGTTCTGCTTCAGTTAAGGTAGTAAACATAAAGGTAACTGACCACATTACAGAGTACTGTTATACATTGGGGGAAGGGGCAAGGATCCCCTAAACTCCTGGCTGCTAGATTCTCCCCATAATTCCTGGAGTTATTAAAAATTGGAATTAATCAAGGTTTTATTAAACTGTGCCAAACTCCACTGGATTCATCTTATGCTAATGAGCCAGGCCAGCCTGGGATAGCCAGCTGAGTGTGGGTCATAGGAGGAACAAAGATATTAATGGCCGAGCTATTGACCCATCCAGAAAGCTGTTAGGAGGGTGAAGACTAGGGTATGCCAGACCAGGAGGGGTGGGGCCCCTCCTCCAGCTGTGTGTTAGTGGGAAGAGACGATGGGGGTTTAAAGGGTGTAGGATTTCAGTTTAGATGATGTAAGCTAACAGGGGAAATGTGAGTTTTGCAAGCTGGGCGGGGGCTAGAGCTCAAGGTGGGCTGTCTTGTTTTATACTGCAGAGAGGGTCAGACACAATGTTTGGGATCTGAGGGTGCAACAGTGGAAGGAACAGGACCCTCTCGGGATATGAATGCTCTGCACTCTCCATCTAGGCACAGGTTGTGTATATGTGTAAATAACCACAGATTCTGCTGTGCCTCGTTGTCCAAAAGGAAACACATACCCTGGTGCCAGCGTGCCTGGTATTCCTGGAATCTTGCAGCGTTTGGAGATCAGGGTGGCATGTGACAATAGTATGCTAGCGGACATCTGGCCTCTTCTAACCTTGCTTTTCTACAATTGCAACCTAAAATGAAATAATACAATGAATTGTATTAATCAGTGAACAAGAATGACTAGCATAGAGTGGAAGTTCTGGGATTTTGCAGTGGGACTCTTTCAGACCTCCTGGCTACATGATTTTGCGCATGAAATGCTGCTAAAGTGTTGCTTCCTTTATTCATATGACTTATTTAACGATAGAAATTGTGATTTGTTCTGAAGTATTACTTTGCTAGACTAATTAAAATCCAATAAGCAAAGAATATAATATGCTGCTGTTTTATTCTAGGTTAATGGCATAGACTTGAGGAATGCCAGCCATGAAGATGCTATAACAGCCTTGAGACAGACGCCTCAGAAAGTACAACTGGTTGTGTATAGAGATGAAGCTCATTATAAAGATGAAGAGAATTTGGAAATTTTCCATGTGGACTTACAAAGGAAAATGGGCAGAGGCTTAGGGCTAAGCATTGTTGGGAAACGGTAAGGGTTACATTTAATCATAGCTCTGTGTGCAGAACGTTACAGAGCCTTGTCTTCTCTTAAACTGAAGATCCCTCCACAGAATAAGCTGCAAAGATTATGTGCTCTTTCAGAACAGGTGCAATATTTGTAATGGTGGTTACACCTTTAGCTTTTCTACAAGTAGAAGGGTGAAACATGCAATTAGATGCATTATACCTGAATCTGATTTTCCTTTTACATTTAGGAGGGCAAACCTAGTACCTGAGAGCTACTGTAGTGTAATGACAGCTGCCAGTCAGAATGTTCCAAAATGTCACCTCAGCTTCTGACTCACGAGGCAACTTTAGACAAGCTGTTAAGTCTCTCAGCACCCTATCTAAAATATGGAAGTAATAATGTTGACCGCCGTATATTGATTTCTGAGAGTACACTGATAGCAAGAATGATTTAGCCACATAAGAAAACCAGTGTTTTCATTTTAAGACCAGTGTGTGGTCTGATGAACAAGCATTAAGAGGAATAGCTTAGTCGGTAGACAACATGAGACTCTTAATCTCAGAACTGTGGGTTCGAGCCCCACACTGAGCAACAGTGGGTTGGCCTAGGTGATGCTTATGGTCCCTTCCAACTCTATAATTCTTCTGTGATTTAAGTAGCTGCTCCTTAAAACTCAAGACAGGATTTGTATTGTGTTGCTTGTCCTGGATAAAGGTAAAGGTAAAGGGACCCCTGACCATTAGGTCCAGTCGTGACCAACTCTGGGGTTGCGGCACTCATCTCGCTTTATTGGCCGAAGGAGCCGGCGTACAGCTTCCGGGTCATGTGGCCAGCATGACTAAGCCGCTTCTGGTGAACCAGAGCAGTGCACAGAAACGCCATTTACCTTCCCGCCAGAGTGGTACCTATTTATCTACTTGCACTTTGACGTGCTTTCAAACTGCTAGGTTGGCAGGAGCTTGTCCTGGATAGCAATATCTAAATGCCTATATTCCTAGGAATTGTATGTACCTTTTAACAATTATTTATTTGCTTGTTACAGTTATATCCCACTGGTTAATAATAATAAAATCCACAACTGAAAATTACCAGTATACATAGCACATTAAGCGGTAGTACAACCATAAAAATCGAATAAGAGCAGATAAAAAGTCTAGAAGGGGGGGATATCATTAGATATCTAGAATAAAATGCAGAGCAACAGAGAGCATACAATGTGCAAATTGTTTTTAGAAAATATTTTTAGTGGTGCAGCAATGCCTGTGCTTCTTTTCAACTGTTAGAAATGGAAGTGGAGTATTTATCTCTGACGTCGTAAAAGGAGGAGCCGCTGACCTTGATGGGAGGCTAATTCAAGGGGATCAGATCTTGTCTGTCAATGGGGAGGATGTAAGACATGCTTCACAAGAGGTGGTTGCTACAATTCTTAAGGTAAGTGCATAGTGTATTCTTGAGCACTAAATCATGCTTGCAAGGTTTCTGGAAACCGATTTATTTTTTACGTTACCATGTGGTTGTGGTTTAGGCAAAAGTATGATTGTTTGCATGGGGGTGGGGGTAATATATCTAGGGGGGAAATTAAAAAGCCATCAGGGTGTAAATGCTGTACGTTTCTTTGCATATCCAAAGTGTGCCCAAGGGCTTGTACAACTAGAGATTGGACGACTGAAAGCTGGATCTTGGCTGTCATCACGGAAGACATCTCAAAACAGTCAGGTTAGTGGCAGATGGTGCATTAATAAGAAATGGGAAGCTGATGATATAAAACTCAGGATGTGAAGATTTGACCTTGTAATTCTGGAAATTGGTCTTACAACCCAGCTATAGTCGTAACCCAGAGAGTCAAGCTTGTTGTTTCAATATTTTGGGTGACCCAGATGTCTGTGTATTAACCATTGGACAATACAGCCACCTTAAGAGACAGAAAATGGCTTGGCATTCCATTTCATAATACATGGGCAATTTTACTGTGCACTTGTACTTTTTTAAAATGAAATCAATAATTGCACCGACAGCCTGAGAAAAATAGATTTTGTTTTCATTTTTATCTTTCCCTTCAGTTCACTTGGAGCCACCAATGTGCCTAGCAAGCTTTTCAGCAATAAAATATGTGGGAAACAGTTGAAAAAATTCATGTATCAACATTATGCAAATAACATGTGCCAATACTAAAGAAAAGGCTGTATTGTATTCTGACTTAAGGGAGCTGGCCAGCAATCGCTAGGATTTTCACAGGAAAGCATGGAGATTGTTAACTAAGTCATTTATCACCAGTTCCTGTTTCCGCTTGCTGTCATTTTCCAGCCTGTGTGCCCTTCTGTCGCAGACACCCAGGTGCCAAGCTCTAATTTTGCTTCACCTGAACTGCTGCACTGCAACCTTCCCAGTTAACATGTGTATTATTCCTTTGCCTTATTCCCTGCTAGTTTGAAGAGAACTCTAGAGAGCTGACAGCTACTCCTAATGAATTCTCCATGCACCCTGAGGAGCACTAATCCAGATTCTGCAGAAATTTCATTAGCACTCTGTGGCCTAAAAATCTGTTTAGCTAGAGGAGGTTTTTGATTTTTTCACACACAAGACTGCACAGCTAAAACTTGGCAGCTGGGCACCAGATTTGGTTGGCGAATGAAATGTTTCGGTGAAATACTCTTGCTGTATTAGAACACATAGGAGTTCTAACCTCTCAAAGCTTTCCTGGAGTTTATTCTGTAAATTCTCTCTTGCTTGGTCTAGTTAAGAAGCCAAGCAGAATTGTGTTGTCTGTCTACCATCCAGTCTCTTTGAACCTTTTTTAAAACACAGATGTTGGGCATCCATACGTAAAAGAAAAACAAGTGCTTCCATGTGATCATGTGACTTATCTGTTTAACATTAGTGTCAGTAGCTTTCTGTGAGAGTTCTTCGTAGCACAGTCTGTCAGTGCTTCTGGAAGTTCTCATCCAATGTCGTAGTGAGGGGAGCAGGTTGCAGATATTATTTATTCATTCTTTAGTGAGACCATGGATGGATACTGGACAAGAAAAGCTCTGATAACTTCCATTTTGGATTTCTGTAATACATTGGGTGGGGGATGGCCTTCCAGAGGACTGGAAGCTTCTGCAGGTACAAAATACAACTTGGTTCCTTCCTTCATCCTTACTGGTTTTGCCTTTGCATTTCAGATAAGCCAACACAGTGTTCATAGCCACTTTCACCCTACATTTGCTCCAGTTATCTCCACTTTACAGAATTTTGTCAGCACTAAGAGGTCATCTGCTGATTCCTCTCACAGAAACTCAGGTATGGGACAGAACCTGCAAACCAATACAATCCTGTGAATTATGCTGAATGTTCACTGCCTTCTTATTCTGTTCATTTATAAAACCCAGTTAGGTACCGTATTTTTCGCTCTATAACACGCACCCGACCATAACACGCACGTAGTTTTTAGAGGAGGAAAACAAGAAAAAATATATTCTAAATGAAACAGTGGATGTATGATTTTTGTGGTTCATGCTGTGGCCACAGACATGTGATCTGACAGTGAGTTTGGAGTAGCCCAATGCAAAAATCCTGAGGAGCCATGTGGATCCATGCTTTGTAACCACGTTTTTGCACCACTGCGGACCCAGGCAACAGTGGGTGCGTGATTTTTTTGGTGTAAGATGTAGCCATGGACATGCTATGTGATCTGATGGTGAATTTGGGGTGACCCAGTGCAAAAATCCTGAGGATCCATGTGGATCCGTGCTTTGTAACCACGTTTTAAGTGGGGAGGGAAGGAAAAGCACTCAAGGGACAAGAAGCATGCGTGGGGTGTGTGGAGAAGGATGCTGCTAATAATGCAGAAGAGGGGTTTAAGGGGAGAAGGCTCCTCTCCTCTCCCGCTTTGCTCCTTTAAAGCAAGCCGGCTCTGCTTTTCTCCCTCCTCCCCGCTCCTCCCCGGCTTAGCAAGCTGAAAAACTTTGCTGCTATTTAGCGAGCTGAGTGGGGAGGAGAGAGGGACAGAGAGCCTGCTTGCTTTAAAGGAACCAACCAGACAGGCTCCTCTCCTCTCCCGCTTTTCTCCTTTAAAGAAGCAGGCTCTCTGTCCCTCTCTCCTCCCCACTCAGTGGCTCTTCTCCCGCTTTGCTGTTTCAAAGCGAGCCACGGAGGAGGGAAGGAAGGGGAACCATGGATCCTCTGCTCACGACTGCAGCAGATTCGCCCCCCCGCCACCCGTAGGCATTCCCTCCATAACACGCACAGACATTTCCCCTTACTTTCTAGGAGGAAAAAAGTGAGTGTTATGGTGCAAAAAATACGGTATTTACTTCTGTATGTAGCTCTGGAAGCAATTCTTAGCAATAACTCCTAAATATGAAATAGTCCTGTGAAATACGGAGCAGATGATTAGGAGTTCCTAATGTGCTAATTACAGTTTCTCATATTGTATTTGAAGTGGCCCAGGTCCTGTTTTTCCTTTTTGAGTCCACTTTGTGCAACATCTAAAGTTGGCTGTTACCTACTAAGGTTCAGGGCCCAATAAACTACTTAATTTGTAATGGGCAACTGGCATATCCAACTCATTTCTAAATACTGAAGGAAAAGCCCGGCAAGACTTTAATTTTTCAGCTATATGGTTTCCCCCCGCCCCCAATATATCTGCATTTAATTCTAGTTATGAACATTTTAGTGTATGTAGTTAAGCATTGTAAGGTATTTATTTGGGGTGTTCACTGACCAAAATATTTGCCTATAAGGTAGCAGACTTTATGCACTCTACAAGGGCAACCATGCTTGCACATTTCACCCATTGTCAAGAAAACCTATAGCTAGTTTTTAATCTCCCAATAGTGATCAGGGCGGAGAGCAAATTCAGACAGACTCCAAACTACATTGGTCAGCCTACAAAGCATTTCAGATCAGGGCTTGCTGTTTCCCAAAGCACTGAATTAGGTTCCAAACCAAGGCTTGTAGTTGCACACCCCTAGTATTTGTCATTTGCAACAAACCTAATAAAGCAAAAGTTAGGCAAAGGACACCCATATTGTATCACCATCTCTGGGCAAAGATATGCAACAGTCACCTTGTGTCTATTGGGGGTATACACTTCAGTGGATAATGGGTTCCCCACTTCCATGCTCAGTGAACGGCAGGCGCTAAGTCCTTTTCCAGTTGCATAATGTATTTCTTGCTCTGGCATAAACAAGCTTTTCATCAGTGATAATTTTGAAACGGCAACCAGGGACTATAATCTCCTGATGGCATTACCTCTTAATTACAGAAACTAATTGTTCATTTCTTTATTAGTTGGGACAGATATGAGCCCGAGGACTGTGGAAATAACAAGAGTGAGTAGCTTTTCTTACTTTTCAAAGCATTTAGTTCTTATTTTAAGTGAAAGGAGCTGCATAAGGTTCTTCCCGTGTGTAAAAGTTAGCCGCGTTTGTTTCTTTAAAAAAAACAAACTCAAAACATTTCTACATTTGTTTCTAAAAAAAAATGTTCAGTTTTTATTTGCAGATTTTTATTTTTTTTAATGAGTGGTGATGAATTCGTTTGGGCTGTATGTGAACATGGGACCAAAACACAGTTTGGCCATTTTGCTCACCCATCCTTAGTAAAATTAT